CCCACCTCAGTTTGGTGATAATGTTATCTTGATCCTACATCGTAAATTTTGATCAGACTGTTATCTCATTTTTACCTTTCAAAAAGATACTGACAGTAAATATCAATGATGGGGTAAAATAAAAGATGACTATTCACAAGTTTTAGAGTATATTAGGAAAAAATAGACATAAGCAAAAAGAAGAACAAAACGTACAAGGACAAGTGAGAAAAGACAGATCAGCTAAACAGCAGCTGGCATCTACAAGATATAATGAAAACTGAACAGACAGTCCTGTATCATCTTGATCACAGAAGCATTATATGACTGTCACACACACCTGGTAGAAATAGGTTTCTTTCTACATAATAGGTATACAGATGCCAAGAAAGGTTTCTTAGGACATCAAACATTCCCCATAATAATGGAATAATCAAAGGGCCAGAAATGCAGGCCTCATGAGGTCCTGGGAATATCAGGACTGTGATCCCACATTGAAGCCCCTGGGTGGAGAAAATGGTTAATGCACTCAGCTGGTAACTGAAAGTAGGAAGTGGGAGTCCACTCAGAGGCACCTCAGAAGAAAGCCCTGACAGTCTTCTTCTGAAAAATCAGCCATCGAAAACCCTAGGGAGCACAGTTCTACTCTGAAACACAAGGGGTTGCATGAGTTGGGGTTGACTCAATGGCAACTGGTAGTAGTGGATCCCACATCAGTAAATATACCATGCAGGAACTTCCATGTAGGAGATAGAGGGATCAGAATGAGAGGCTCTTGATTTTGGATAAGTATGTAAATCCAACCTCGTATGCTTGAGAACGTCTTTGAGTACTGCTCACATCTTTCTTTTCTCTCATAGAATTTGCTAATGTCAGTGTAAATAAACCAATATACTCGTTGTTGTTGAGTTGATTCTGACTCATAGCAACCCTATAGGACAGAGTAGAACTACCCCAGAGGGTTTCCAAGGAGCAGCTGGTGGATTCGAACTGTGGACCTTTTGGTTAGCAGCTGAGCTCTCACCCACTGTGCTACCCTTGATCTGTTGACATTGCTACACCAATAGATTCTAGTCTGGGAGATAGAGAAATTTCCCTTTTGGTAGTATTGAAAATGGAATTATGACTGGTATCTTATAAAAAATATATGTTTGGGGTTATTACTCATTTTTATGCGATATGTGAAGCATTTAGATGACTGTATTGCTAGTCTGACTGTATAAAGCTGTGCTGCTTTGTTGACACCAGAGGCAGAGAGGCATGATCCCAGGTTTAACCTTATAATTGACTCTTTCTATAAACTCTCAATAATAACACTTTGCTTTTGTCTGAATTGATTACCAAGGACAACGATTGTGGGAGACTTTTCATTTCTCGTTCTATTACTTAGTATTTATAAACTGGATTGGGATAGTACCTCCATTACTTTTCCTGTCCATATCTACCTCTTGATCATTAGAGGGTCAGGAAAATCCTCATCATATATTCTGTGACTGCCTCAAAATATTTATGCCTAATCCATTGCCCTCAGCCTTGCCTCCCTCCATTTGATCCAAAACAATGTTGCTTGAGTGATTATTCTAAAATGCTAATGTGGCTATATACTTCCCATGCTTGAAGTCCTTTTATGATTCTCCAATACTTAAAGATAGAATCCAAAATTTTTGGCGCAGCATACAAGGCCATTATTTCTATGACCTTGCTACCATTCTGACCGCATCTCTCTGTTTCATGTTCATATCTCTGCTCTAGCTATAGAGGGCAGCTTGAAGTTCCTGGAATGAGCATGATCTTTTTTTTTCCTTTCTACATGTTAATTCCCTTTGCCTGGGTAGTTGAGCATGTACCCACTTCTCTGTCACCTGGGTAGCTCTAAATTCTTTTGGAAGTCTTGTTGACCTCTTAAATTATGACCCCATAATTTAGATCGTGCATCAGACCTCTTATTACTATGCAGTGTAATTGTTCCTGGCTTTGTATCTCTCATATTAGGCTTTGCACTTCTTGATGGTAAAGACGTGTCTTCAGTTTCTTTATGTTTAGCACTTAGCTTAGTGCCTAACATTCAGTGGGCACTCAAGGAATGGAAGGCTTTGAGTGAATGCATAGATAAGCTGAGGGCTGCCTAGATGGCTGGCTAGCTAGATAAGTAAAAAGCTAGAGAGTAAGTCTATTGAAATATCTTTTCTACAGTCCTCAACCTCCCCATTCAAATACACTGTTTGAAGTGCTGCTAGGGTTATCATCCTAAAATACAGATCTGACTGCGTCCAACTTTAAAATTTGTTTAAAACATCAATGACATTTTAGTTTATCAATGACAATGCCACCTTTTACTGTTCCTGATCTGACATATCTACTACACATTCTTCAGTCATTCCCAACCAAGCACTCCATGTTCCAGCCATGCTAAATTCTTTGGTATTCAAAAATACACTCATTCATTCATTCATTCACTTCAAAGCACTGTCTAAGATCTGTCTCATTGTTAATGTAGTATTTTTATCTATCATCTTAGTATGACTAATGACTTGCTATACTTCACTAAAATTTTAATTACTATTTTCATTTTCCTAAAATGGAAAAATGTTCATCTGGGGTAGAGGTGAAATAATTCATTTGACAGTTCTTGTAAGTGAATAAAGTTCCTAAGAAATACAACATAGGAAGTTGGGGGCACAAATGCCTTTTTAAATCTTGAAAAATCTCATTCCTTTTTAGTCCAGGAGGTGATACTTTCATCTATAAAACCAGTTGTCTCACTGCAACCCATGTGTGTCAGAGTGGAACTGTGCTCCGTAGGGTTTTTCAGTGGCTGATTTTTTGGAATTATATCACCAAGCCTTTCTTCTGAGGTGCCTTGGTGTGAATTTGAATCTCCAACCTTTCAGTTAGCAGCTGGGTGTGTTAACCATTTGCACCACCCAGAAACCCCCTTTCACCTTTTATGAATCTGATTCAAATCCTCTCTGTGTAGTAAAACCTCACCCATATTGTCTTTAGCATGCTTTATACTCCAGATTTAATCATTACTACTATGGACATGTCAGGCTGCTCTGAGACAATGCCCTTAAGATTTCTAGAAGCCCTTCTGTTTAGCTGAGAGGATCTTTTAGGTCTCACTTTAATTCTTTAGGAGTCCTCCCTGGTGGCTCAGTGGTTAAGAGCTCAGCTGTTAACCAAAAGGTTGACAGTTTGAATCCACTAGCCGCTCCTTGGAAACCCTGTGAGGTAGTTCTCCTCTGTCCTATAGGGTCGTTGTAGGGTCTCTATGAGTCAGAACTGACTCGATGGCAATGAGTTTGGTTTTTTGGTTTTTTATTTCTTTAGGAGTCCCTGGATGGTACAGTTGTTTAACACACTTGGCTGCTAACTAAACAGTTGCAAGTTAGAGTTCATCCAGAGGCATTTCAGAAAAAGGCTTCACAGTATATTTTCCAAAAAATTAACCATTGAAAACCTTGTAGAGTGCCAACAGAATACTATGCAACAATAAAGAACAAGGATGAATCCGTGAAACATAACATGGAGGAATCTGGAAGACATTATCCTGAGTGAATTCAGTCAGTCACAAAAGGACAAATATTGTATAAGACCACTATTAAAAGAACTCAAGAAAAGTTTTAAACACAGAAGAAAACATTCTTTGATGGTTACGAGGGTTGAGGGGGGAGGGAGGGGGTTATTCACTAACTAGATAGTAGATAAGAATTATCTTAGGGGAAGGGAAGGACAGCACACACTACAGGGGAACTCAGCACAACCGGACTAAACCAAAGCCAAGAAGTTTCCTGAATACAATCAAACACTTCAGGGGACAGAGTAGCAGGGGTGGGGGTCTGGGGACTATGCTTTCAGGGGACATCTAGGTCAATTGGCATAACAAAGTTTATTAAGAATATGTTATGCATCCAACTTTGGTGAGTGGCATCAGGGGTCTTAAAAGCCAGTGAGTGGCCATCTAAGTTGTATCAATTGGTCCCAACTCACCTGGAGTAAAGGAGAATGAAGAACACCAAAGCCACAAGGAAAGTATTAGCCCACGAGACAGAAAGGACCACAAAAACCAGAGACTTCATCAACCTGAGACCAGAAGAACTAGATGGTGCCCTTCTACCACCAATGACCACCCTGACAAGGAACACAACAGAGAGTTCCTGAAGGAGCATGAGAAAACTGGGGTGCAGAACTCAAATTCTAGTAAAAAGACGAGACTTAATGGTCTGACTGAGACTGGGGGTCCCCAGAAAGCATGGTCCCTGGACTCTCTGTCAACCCAGAACTAAAACCATTCCTGTGGCCAACTCTTCAAAGATTAGACTGGACTGTGGGGCATAAAATGATACTCGTGAAGAGTGTGCCTCTTAGCTCAAGTAGATGCATGAGACTAAATGGGCAGCTCCTGTCTAGAGGTGAGATGAGAAGGCAGAGAGGGTCAGGAGCTGGTCGAATGGACATGGGAAATGATAGGTGGAAAGGAAGAGTGTGCTGTCACAGTATAGGGAGAGCAATTAGGGTCACTTCACAATGTATGTATAGGTTTTTGTGTGAGAGACTAGCTTGAATTGCAAACTTTCACTTAAAGTGCAACAATAAAAAAAAAAAGACAACCTTGTGGAGTGCAGTTCTACTCTGATACACATGGGTTTGCCATGAGTTGGAGTCAACCCCCCATGACAAGTTGTTTTGGTTGTTTATTAAAGTAATTCTTGAATTCAGAGATATCTAGGTTAATCTTCTTTAACAAATTAGATGCTTTATTCACATGTAATGAAGAAACCCAAAACTGAATTATTAATTTAAAATATGAAATGTTTGAATTATAAACTTTAATTTTTTACCATGTTATATACCACCTCTCTTAAAAGCACATTGTTTCAAATGGGTCTTGCATACCTTATATGTATATCTCAGTAGAACAGTGACTTACTTTCTCTAATGAAGATCAGTGGGTATGAGAAATAGTATATTTCAGTGTCCAAGACCAAATAAAAGTAAATTTCTGTTTCTTTAACCCTCAGGTGATATTTGCGATCCCAATCCATGTGAAAACGGAGGTATCTGTTTGTCAGGATTGACCAAGGATTCCTTTTCCTGCGAGTGTGCAGATGGCTTCACAGATCCCAACTGTTCTAGTGTTGTGGAGGTTGGTAAGTGCAAGATTTAAACATTTCCGTAGTTATCCTTTTTGTTTTCAAGTGACTGACAAATTTGATTGGGGTTCATTTTGAGTAATCCAAATAAGATTACTTTATGTTACTAAATTAGTTTACTGCAGCACAGGACTATCAGTTTTTGCCTTTACTAGCTTATACTTAAATTATATTTTTATGAATTGTATCCTAAAATAAATCATTGTTTATATTTTTAGTTATTCACATTATACTTAAAGGCACTACAGATAAGACTTGGATGTAATAAATTCCTTTTATCTCTAATAATAATATAAATTTAATATTTTATTCTTCCTGGAAAATAAACCCCACATCAATCTATTCAAGTTAGTCACTGTATATGAAATAGGAGTTATTTTAATTATGCTAATATCCATTAATATTTTATAGATGTTCTAATCATTACTTTTCTGAGAATATAAATACATAAAAGAACAAAATATTCCAACTACAATGATCTTTAAAGTCTTTTCAAAAACTTTGCTTTGTAAACATTAATCAGATTCGATGATCACGTTGAAAATGTTTTTTCATCTTTAAAGTACTTCTTTGGCATGCATAGTTATGGATTCAGGATAACTTCCATAATTTCCAAATAACTCTCCATTAAGGAAATAGCTGTACTCTAAAATAATTTAACACTGTATAAATTTTCTCTCTGAAGGTAATTCCGTGATTAAGTTTGAAAAAATTTCTGTGTTTTTCCACATCAGTATCAAGAAGAGTACAAAATAACTATATATATTCAGTACAAGAAAACCAAATATGATTTGGATTGAAGTTTTGCCAACCAGCATACAGACTGGAAAACTTGAAGATTTCAAGGACTTTGAAAAATAGTTTTGAAGAAGAAAAATAATAGTGTAGGGGTTAGTTTAAGTTACCCATCATTATACAGATGTGCCTAACCAGGTATTTTATGCATATAGCTATTACTTGAATGAATGAAAAGATTATTAAATAAAACCATTAACTTGCCATTATTGGCCATGAAAAACCAAAAAAACCAAACCCATTGCCGTAGAGTCGATTCTGACTCATAGCGACCCTATAGGACAGAGTAGAACTGCCCCATAGGGTTTCGAAGGAGCACCAGGTGGATTCAAACTGCTGACCTTTCCGTTAGCAGCCGAACTCTTAACCACCACGCCACAGGGTTTCCTATTGGCCACTAGTTATTGGATTTTAGTATGTTATATTTTTAAAAATCTTTTCCTCCTGTTTTTTATATTACCTTAGTATAATTCATTATTTCTGAAAGAGTCCATTATGATATTACCGAAAGATAGTTTGTTCATTTAATTCATTTCAAAGACAATTCTGTCTTTTATGTTATTATAACTTGATATTTTAGGGAGATTGATACAGTGCCATAGAAATAAAACTGTAGTAACCCTTTTGGTCCAGTCTCCAAATTATGTAAGTTTTTCAGAGTTCAAATATGAGAATTGTATCTTCAGGAAATATTTTTTTTTTTAATTTCTGAAGAAAATTATAGCCATAAATATTCCTAACAGGAAGGTATGAGTAGAATTCAAATTTAGTGTTTCATTTTCATCCCATTAACCCCAAATTGACAGTGCCTTAAATTTTTAGTATGTGATGTTTTTGTCACTACTCTGGAAGAACCAAATTTGTAATTCAAGAGACATACATTTGAGTAATGAAGAAACCAGCATCTTCTAAGTGAATACTTTTAGACCATATTTTTAAATGTTAATTCAACATTCATCATTTATCAGGAGAGTGATATTATGGGCAGCAACATTTAAAGCACATTGCTCTAGTCCATTCATTGCAATGAGATGTTGGGGAATCAAATGCTTACAGAGTAAAATTGTATTCAGATGCATTATTTTATATTACTGCAACACCTCACATATTGAGAAATAGGGTTGTTATATCACCTGAAGCGATATGCTTTTACTACCTATTTCATGCAGTCCTAACCTTTTATAAGTTATATTTAGGAATTTTTGGAAGAAATAGGTCCAATTTGCATTTGCTTTGATAGGGTCGCTGTGAGTTGGAATTGACTCTACAGCAACAGGTTTGGTTTTTATAATTTAGCATAGGATGTTGGTTAGACCAGTTAGTTCTAATGTCATATATTGCTTCTATAGCATTAAAATATTAGAAAACCAATGCCCTAAAACTTTAAAATGCCCATAGTTACTTAAATACAACTTTTCTATATTTTCAAATAATTTTGTAAAGAGTGAGAAAATAAGGGGAAGTTAAATACAATTTTTGGGTTAGATATTTCTTTAGGACAAGCACTTTATCTTACTTGCCTTTTAGCTAGCTCTTTCTCAACCCTAGATATTCTTGCATATAAGGACATCATTAATATTTACTGAATACTAGTACTTAATGGCAGTGGCTTTAATATCTAGAGAACTTTTCCTTAGGTTTTTTTTTTCCTTCATATTTTTGAAACAAATTATTGGGACAAGATATTTGAAACATTCAGTCATTAAAGACTCTCTTGCCTTTTCATTTTAAAAATCAACCACTTTGCCAGTATATTTTTTTCTTGTAAGATAATTGTTTCCATGTTATTAGGTAGGACCCATGCAGAAAGCACAGAGTGCACCGAGATTTTATACAAACAATCAGTAGGTATTTTAAGATACTATATTAAAAGACAGCATAAAATTTGAGCTGTCATCATAGGTATATGTGTACTTAATACATTGATCCCCTCAAAGATGGAGAAGCGTGTAAGTTTTCTTGTAACCTTCTGAACCATATAAATTTTATGATTATATGAAGTTCTAATCCTCTTTATTTTCGATTTCCAAATAAAACAATTTTGTTTATATTTGCTTAGAAAAAGTTGTGTTTTGATCCCAATTTAAAACATTATTTTTACTCCATAAATGCTACAATCAAACATATACTCTTCTCATTGTAGCATATCTGGAAAGGAGAATTTCAGATGCATGCTATTCTTAGTGATAAAAATCCCTTCATGATTTTAAACCTGAACCTCATTACTTTCAGTAGCCTTGTTAATCACTCTTGATGATACCTATTTCAAATAGCTTCTCAGTCAGTTTTGTACTTTTCTCTTTCCTCCCAAAGCATCTAATGTCATATAACACAAAACACTTTACCATATTTGCAATCAATCCTCACATCACCTACATTCCCATATTATGTGTGGAATCTTAGAGAAATTGACTTGCTCAGGTTTGTGCACTTCATTCAGTAGAGAATATTGCTTTCCTTTGGGCTCTCTTGTGTCTACTTCAATATCCATCTCTATCTCTCTCTTCATATACATTAACACAGTTTAGTCTCCTTAGCCTCTTAGAATTTTTAAGATTCACTTTTGATATCCACAGAAAACAACGATAACACATCACTGAGCAAAGGAAAGAAAAAGTCCTCATTTCACATCCTCAAATTTTAAGACATCAGCCAGGTTAGCCAGTGTTTGCACAGATGTGCACTGGACATTGCATCCCTCTGCAGGGGCTTGTAGGCAAACAACCTTGTGGCTAAGCCCCAAGTTACTTCCCAGTTACGTACTCATGTTTCTGGATGGTGCTGTGAAATTTGAAGCCAAACGTTGACATTTATTTCATACAGAACTTTCCTATTACCAGGGAACACTATAGAGTTTATATGTGGAAACTTTGTTGTTGTTGTTGTATGGAAACCTTGGCAATTACTAAATTGTTCATGTTTGGTGGCATAATTCTCTGCATGCAATCCGAGCAATCCAGTAAACTAGTAACAAGTAACAGATTTTTACAACTCAAATAACCAGCATATTAATGTAATCAAGGGGGGAAAAAATGAGTGATCAGCATCTTTTTTTACTATGATAAACAAATTCACACAAATTGCTATCTAACTAGGAAAGCAAATAAATAAATACATAAATATGGTGGGTGTTATGAAAGGAGAAGCATAGGGACCTAACCTGGCTGCCAGGCCATGCATCCACCACCATCACCATTTGCCACTGAGTCAGTTCCAACTCATGGTGACCCCATGTATGTCAGAGTAGGCCTTTCATCTGAGGCACCTCTGGGTAGATTTCAACAGCCAACCTTTCGGTTAGTAGCTGAACCCTTAACCATTTGCACCACCAAGGAACTCCAGACTTACCTAAAAAAAAAAATTCTAAAAATAATTTGAGTTTATCAGGAAGAATGCTAAAAGTATTACAGACAGAGGAAATAATGTGTAGAAAAGTCATGATATGAGACAAATGGTGGAGAAAAAGCATGGTGAAGTCTATGAACTGAATGATGAAGGTCACTGTGGCCAGAGCTTGAAGGGGAGAAAAGGGGTGGCCAGCAGTGAGGCTGAGGATGCCAGATTCTGCAGAGTCTTGCATGATGTCTTGAGGACTTGGACTTTACACTAAGAGCAATGAAGAGGATTTGTACTTTTGGAAGATTCCCATCACTGCAATACTAAAATATATAGGAGCGAAGTAAGGCAGGGGGACAGTTTGAACACCACTGCAGCAGATCATTTTACTGGGATCCACAATCAACGCCCATGGAAGCAGTAGTCAAGAAATCAAACAACACATTGCATTGGGCAAATCTGCTGCAGAAGATTTCTTTAAACTGTTAAAAAGCACAGATGTCACTTTAAGGACTAAGGTGTGCCTGACCCAAGCCATGATGCTTTCAATCGCCTCATATGCACGTGAAAGCTGGATAATACATAAGGAAGAACTAGGAAGAACCAATGCCTTCGAATTTTGGTGTTGGTGAAGAATATTGAATATATCATGGACTGCCAGAAGAATGAACAAATCTATCTTGGAAGAAGTACAGCCATAATGCTCATTGGAAATGAGGATGGCAAGACTTTGTCTCACATATTTTGGACATGTTATCAGTCCCTGGAGAAGGACATCATGCTTGGTAGAGTAGAGGGTCAGCAAAAAAGAGGAAGACCCTCAATGAGATAGACTGACACAGTGGCTGCCACAATGGGCTCAAGCA